TGGCCTCTTCCCTGTTCTTGTGTATTGCTCCCGTCTTCATTTTCTTGTGGCTCTTCTCCACCTGTACCAAAGTGTAGGCATGTTCTCTGAACGGAACTTTTAAAGTCTTTAACTTGCAATCTCAAACTTTCTTGATCTTCAGTCCTCGGAATAGGCTAGATTAAAAGGGGCCTTTATCGTAATGTAGGTTCGTTCTCAAGGACAGTTGTGATTTATTTTTTTTTTTTTCCTTCTCTCTTCAATTCTCTCCAGCAAAGTCCTGACGAACCTCTGCGTAGCAGAAAAGTGTTTGTTGGGCGCTGCACTGAGGACATGACAGCAGATGAACTCCGACAGTTCTTTGCCCAGTACGGAGAAGTGGTAGATGTCTTCATTCCTAAACCCTTCCGAGCTTTTGCTTTTGTTACATTTGCAGATGATCAGGTATGTCTTAAAATATTTTGACTTCATATTTAGACAGCCTACATTTCAGTAGCTTGATAAAGCATTATTGCTGGAACTACACATGGAACACTGCCTTGTCCACTGTCTTGGGAATTCCAGTGGTATTCGCTTGATTTATTGAGTTGGTCTAAGGTTACACTTTTCAGATGCTGTTGTACAGACGGGTTTTTATACTGCAGTTAGTGTAGTAGCGAATGCGAAGATAAAACACTTCAAATTGGATTAAGTATATGCACATGCTTCCTTTGCAGGTTAAATATCTGCTCAGAATCATGTGGGATTTTTTTGTCTTGTACTACTAACATTTAAAAAAAAGAAGTCTTAACATGTATTTAATCGATCCCTTATTTCTTATAGGTTGCCCAATCTCTTTGTGGAGAGGACTTGATCATTAAAGGAATCAGCGTACATATATCCAATGCTGAACCTAAGCACAATAGCAATAGACAGTTAGAGAGAGGTGGAAGATTTGGTGGTAATCCGGGAGGCTTTGGGAATCAAGGGGGGTTTGGCAACAGCAGAGGAGGTGGGGGAGGACTGGGTAACAACCAGGGCAGTAACATGGGTGGAGGCATGAACTTCGGAGCCTTTAGCATCAACCCTGCCATGATGGCAGCAGCACAGGCAGCCCTGCAGAGCAGCTGGGGAATGATGGGCATGCTGGCTAGTCAGCAGAACCAGTCGGGGCCGTCGGGAAACAACCAGCCTCAAGGCAACATGCAGCGGGAGCAGAACCAGGGCTTTAGTTCAGGGAATAACTCCTACGGTGGTTCCAATTCGGGGGCAGCGATAGGCTGGGGTTCGGCCTCGAACGCGGGCTCCAGCAGTGGGTTTAACGGAGGCTTTGGTTCAAGCATGGATTCCAAATCGTCAGGCTGGGGAATGTAGACGCAGTGGGCTCTCATACTGACTCTATGGTGGGAAATCAAATTTTTCTAACTCGTGGTAAGTATACTGTAAATTACATATATACTAAAATTTTCCAAATCAGTTTGTTCAGTGTGCAGTATATTCAGCAGTATTTTTGACATTTTTCTTTTTCTAAAAAAAAAAAAAAAAAAAAAGAAAAAGAAAGGTAAAAGGAATTTTCTAAGTTTTGTTACATATCTTGTTGGAATACTGAATGTTTGGAAGCGGACTGCTGTTTGCCCGATAGGTAAACTAACACTACAATCGATAGGAAAGGTTTCTCCTGTAATACTTTATCCTTTGTTTCCTGGCTACCTGAATTCTTTGCATGTTCAAAATGGAAACCATTGGTCAGAAACAGCATTCTCTCCCTCTTGTTTTTAATTTGATCCCACCATAAGACTCTCCAAGTGCCCCAGTTGGAGAACACGGTGTCGTTTTTGTTTCGTTTGTGTTTTTTTTTTAACACTGTCTCCCCTCCATACTAAAGTACGATATGAAGGCTTCATTTAATCTCCGCAGTTCATCTCATTTCAAATGTGTATGGAAGAAGCACTTCATTGAAAGCAGTGCTGTAAATATTCTGCCTTAGGAATACTTCTGTCTACATGCTTTCTCATCCAAGAATACTTCATCACACCGCACATGCTGCGTCTTAGACGGTGGGTGTTCCATTTTTATCCGCTACTCTTTATTTCATGGAGTCGTATCAACGCTATGAACGCAAGGCTGTGAGATGGAACCAGAAGGCTGTTTGAACTTTTGAAACCTTGTGTGGGATTGATGGTGGTGCCGAGGCATGAGAGGGCTGGTATGTGCGAGATAAAGGAGAGAGCGCATGCAGAGACCTGGTGGTGCATTATGGGATTTTATTTTACTTGGCGAGATGTCTCTCAATCCTGTGGCTTTGGTGAGAGAGTGTGCGGAGAGCAATGATAGCAAATAAAGTACGAGTGTTTATTGCATTCAAAGGACATCCATATGTGGAAGACTTTAAGTGGGTTTTATACCTAGTTAATCAATTAGTTGAATGTGTTATGTGAAATGAATATTTGTATTTTTTTTCCCTTATGTCAACTGCTGTGAATGCTGTATGGTGTGCGTTTTTTTTTTTTTCTGTTAATGATCTGTAAGTGTGGTAATGTGAATTGAAGATGATGGGGTTTGTGATGAGAACATTGAGCTTGTGGTGTGCTTTGCAGTAGCAGAGATCACTAGCGAGCTCAGTGTGCCTCTCCAGGGTGGAAGTTCCACTGTCTGTAAGATATCCATAAGAATGCTGTTTGCTGCAGTTTCGTGTTTGGATGCTTTTTATAAGATTTGTCACTGTAGGAAATTCTTAAATAAAACTGATTTAAGTAATATGTGTCTTTGTTTTGCAGCCCTGAATGCAAAGAATTCATAGCAGTTAATTAATTTTACCCTTTTGAGATGAACTTCTGTAAAGCTTTTTTGCAGTAATTCGGTTTGTTTCAGATAAGCATGCTCTAAAAGTTGACAAGTCAAACGGAGCCACCGCTCATCATGTATCGATACCCGACACCCAACTTTAATCCACTGTATTTTTGCACTGTTCAGTGATACGTATATACCTAAAATCCAGTTCCCACACGTTTGGGTGTCCACACCTAGAATGGTAAGCAGTTCCCTCCAGATTGCATCTGTACCAAGGAACGTTACTTACTTCGTATTTTAGGAGTTCCTCATCAGAAGTGGGTTGGGGGAAACAAACACTGTCAAGATGTATTTCTGTCCACAGCATCTCCTTTGGGGATGGATGTTTTTAACTTGTTTTTAGACCAGTCCATTCATGGGAAGTAGGGTTCTGCAACACTTTCAGCCCAGAAGAAAGCTATAAACTCATGTTTAAAACTAGTCACAGGAAAGACTTTCCAACTGAATAAAGCATTAGTAAATGTACATGGACTTTGATGGAAGTCTTAATCTGAAAAACGAAGTTTATTACAGGTGCAGAAGCGTCAGTTAAGGGGCAGCTTCTTAACAAAGAGCAGGATGTTTCAGCAGAAACCGGTGGAAGATCATTTCCACTGCCAGTAGGAGTGGAGGAATTGTTTAATCTACTTGCGCTTGAAACCCACGGAAGGTTGATCCGTATTTTTTATACACCATACTACTATGCTGTAGCTATGAACGTTCTGAATATGGATATTTACACAGTTTTTAACCTATTTAACTTTTCAAGTTCTATCTTCATTACTGTGTATTATATTGAGGCTTGTGAATAGAAGACCGTCTAAATAGTGGACAAAACTGCACTACTGTTAGTTTTCCACTTGCAGTATTAAAAAAGCAGCTGGGTCTCAATGTACATCTTAAAGGGTTTGAATAGGGGTTCTAAACACTAACGCTGAAAAGTAATCCCACACTTTTGTTGTTCATATCCCACTGCAAAAAGTTGCTTGGATTTTTTTTTTTTTCTGCACCTAAGTCAGAATAATCTCCAAACTCTGTACCATCTGTGAATTTTGCATTTTAGCACTTGCACTATTACCAGCTACTTCTGCTGAGTAACACTTAAAAATGGTATTCTTGGACCTCCAAAGACTAACTGTGACCCCCCTGCAAGGAACTTCATGGTAAGTTTTTGTAATTAGCATGGCTTTAATTTTGTTTAAATTGTCCAGGTTTAGGTTTTAACAGGCTGGTTGGCAGCACTGAGTAGTCTTTTTGCTAATAATTTTAGCCTTCCTTCACCCTCAAGCAAAATCCCTGAAAATTTTAGAATAATTTTCAAGTTTTAGTAGTATTTTCTAACTGCTTTGCATACCCTAGTGTTTATAAGTGAGTAAATAAACTACTATTGAAAACATACTGAAGTGTCTGGAGTCTTGTTTTGTTTTTTTTTAAAGAGGTTTCATTTTCAGTTATTCTAGAAAGTGAAATACTAATGAAAGGATGTGAGATGCAAGGAGGAAGCTTATGTAATTGTAAGGGGGATATATACTGTAGTCAGAACAGTTTTTTCGTAACATTGCTTCTAATTAGTTCTGAGAATCTGTTGTCATCTGAACATGTACTGAACTTACAAATCTGAATGGGAAAGCTTATTCTTTATAAAAGTGTGTTCAGAAAAACAGTTTTTGCAGCTGACAGCGGGAACTTCTTTAAGGCAAGGGCTGTACAGCTGTGCCTATGCTGCGTACAGCAGGTACCTATAGAGGTACCTTGAAGTGTGCAGCACTGTAGGTAAATGCTGTCCCCAAATACAGTGTGCAGCTGGTTCTGCTGGGAGTCTTCAACTACCAGTACACATGAGGCAGCAGTGCAAGGTACCTGGATGCGCTGCACGCTTCCGCTGGACGTGTGTTCAGTCAAAAGCTGCAGTCTTGCAAGACTCCAGAGCACTATTTAAAATAAAACAAAATATAGTTTGTTAAGTACAGAGTAATACCTTCTTTAGGCAGATGGCAATTTTGTAAATCTAAAGGTCTTTTAACAGCTGCTGGGACAGAAAACAAAAATTAATACTGTATTTGGATACTTAAGGGTTTTTTTTCCTTTTTAACAGAACTGTTAAGCCTAATAAAGTTAAACATTAAGTATTTAGTGTTATTTTCTAAGTATTTAAATACTGTAGCTATTGGTGTAATCTAAGTAATAGGTGGTAGGAGTTACAAATAAGTCTTTTAAGAATTATTTACAATAGTGCTTTCAATCCAAGGGAAGTAACTGGTGACTCTTGCCTAGACCCCATTCTGCCCCGCAAGAGCACAGTGTAAACGCCAGGACACAATATCCATGATAAACCTTTTGCTGGCCTGAGCACCTAAGAGCGGTCCTCCGCTGTCCCCCTGACAGGCACCTCCGCCCCCTCCCTCAGCTCCAGCACACAGCAGGTTTTCTGGTAAATGGTTTATTTGCGTACACATCTGTATGTTCTTTCTGGCTGATGACTGCCAGCTCAGCGTGCAGCAGTACAACAGAAGAGCTCCTCGTCTCACTTCTACCCGACCATTTGCTCTCATTTGAAATCTGTCATCTTTTCCTGGTAAACAAATGGGTGTGATATTGGTACTAATTGAGACTTTATGCTCCAGTCTAACCAATGCCGTATCACTAAGTTGACAAGATCATTTTTATAACCTTCATTAATAAACTTTTTTTTCTGCCCAGGCGTCTTCATAGCAAAATGAGCGTTTGTTCAAAATCCCCAATTTAATCCTCAAAGCTGAGGGGTTTCTTTGATCAGCTACAACATCAGCAGCTGTTAGAACCCAGTTGTCACACAAAAGCGAACCACCTCCTAACGCTCCTTGCTCTGTAATTAACATCGCTTGCCAGGGAAACGCTCCAGGCTTGGCTCTCCCTCCTCCATAGATACGCTCCACAGTTCCACTTCTCTGCGTTCCACAAACTGCAAAACAATGCATGCAGCAATAAGTGCTGAACATTTTAAGGTTTGGATACTGAATTATTATGCTTGTGTGGATTAAATTCAGTTAATGATTCTAAATGTAATGCCTAGATTGTTTTGGAATGGTAAAATTGCTCGCCAATGAATATTTGATTTAGAGTACAATTTTCATTAGTCGGTATTTCATACATCCTTTGGAAAAGTTCTGTAATCAAAAGAGAGAGTTTTGCTTAGGAATTTGGGCATAGAGAAGTAAGTGTATTTGTTCTGAGTGTAAATTAAGGTAACTGGAATACATGGATATTCTAATCTAAAAGATAAGAGGAACAATTACGCTTTTACATTGTAAAATGTTTCTCCCAAAACTCAGTCTTGGAGCTCGAGTAATTTTACCAAGTAACTAATTTAGCAGTTCAAGCATTAAAAAAAAAAAAAAAAAAAAACCAAACCAAAAAAACGAACCAAAACAAACACCTCCAACCCCGTACTCTGCAGTAAGGGCATTCAGTGTCTTTTCCCCCTCACAAATACTTCTGGAGTGTGGTTCAATTTTCCTGTCAGAACCAATGCCAAGCAATTTAAAAGGAACAACAATTTAGTTAGTTATGAAACTGCATTCTCCAAAAGAGAGCTGGAATAAACTGAAGGTTCAGCTTTTTACTCTCTTCAAGGGGAACTGAACTGAGTTTCTGGCATTAATCTGCAATGCTAGCAGCAACAGGGAGCCTCAGGCAAGACCAAGGCATGTTAAAATAGTAAACAATTTAACAGGTAACTATAAGGTCAATATTAATAACTACAGGGAGCACCAGTCACACTGTGTAGTTATCGTAACATTTTGCGTTGTGTTAACGTTCCTCCCTGTTAGACAGCAATTGTAGCACTTGCCATTCTGAAAATCAGAGTAACGTAAAGGTGGTCACCTGATTTTTAAAATGAACGTTCTGCAATGAGGTGGTTCTGCCTCATCAACTTAAATGCAGTAAAAGAAAATCTAAGAAAGCCCTGCTGTTATACCCGCTACTTAACTCTTTACATAAACAATGGAATAGCTTAGTTGAGTAACTTGTTAACAGCCCAGCATCCGTTGTTCACTGCAGGCTGGCATTTAGGAACAAGCATCACAGAGGGAGCTGAGCCCCTTCGTTACAGGAAACGTTCTGAAGTTCCAACTCAGGTGCATGTAAGTGCATTATCGGCCTACGTACAATCTGCCTCGCCGGCTCCGTAACAAAGCGCAACCATGGACCAGCAACAGGCAGTACTAGGCGAGAGCTTGTTAATGATTTTGCAGTGGCTGCTAATTCCAACTACTTTGTACGTTCATGCGTTGCCTGGTTCACAGGCAGGAGGGGTTTTCTCCTTTGGAGTTTTTCCACTATCCATCATCGCAGCATGTATATTTACCTGCATCTCACAGAGACAACAAAAATAAGAACAAGTGCATACAACAGCTGGGCATCATTTTAGAGCAACACAGAAGTGACACTCTAGAGGCAGTGTTAGACATCGTATTTTAGGTCTCCTCTGAGTTTACTGCAGGCTCATAAGAAGGTGACTACGCATCACTACACACCTCTGGCTCTGTGCAGGATCTAATACTATTAAACACCACTAACTGGGGAACGATAAGAACATGTTAAGCTCCCAACTGTTACTGAATGAAGCCCACCTGGGGTACCTTTCAGAATGCTTAGGTACACATCCTTAAAAACGCAAACAACACTTCCCAAAGTTAACAGCCTTTGTATTGCGTTTCAGAAAGGTTCTGCTGACCTTTACAGGCATGTCTATGTCAGTCAGGGGTATTCACTCTGTGCACCATCAGAACCAAGAAACTCTCTCTTAAGCTGATGTTTAGGACCTACCGTTACTATTAGCCTTCACGGTGCAGAAGGGGGCTTCACACTGGTACTGCATTTCAGCACTGTAGGTGCTCTTCTCAGGCCCCGTAACGTAAGTAACGGCACCACTGCCTATATGTCCTCAGGTTGACCACAGTCAACAACTAAAGCAGTTCAAAAGTATATTAAGAAAAAGAAAAGCTAGTGCACTGAAAACGTCAACCTAATCAAGCAGGATTCAACTGTCATCTTCAGGGAATGGTACAAGGCCTCTTTACTCAAGATAACAGAAACAGAAATACCAGTGAAGGTTCTGTGCTCACAGTTGGGCAGGCAGACATCAGTAACCCCACAGCTGAGTACTGGGAACTGGGAAGGTTTTAGTAGACGCTGTGGTTTCCTCAGAGCATTTGCACTCCCATCCACTAGATTAAGCTGTGACTGTGCAAGACTCACGCTGCACACTGTGTACGCAGGAAACTGATACATATATTAATGAACGCAGACTAATTAAAGATAAATTGTACCAGTACTTTAAGAGTACAGGTACTGTATTTTTCTCCTATGATGACGATGCTTTTGCTAGTTACATAAAACTGTTGGGACATTCTACACTATTTCAAAGGACACTACCACACTTTTTTTTTTTTTTTAAATAACCATCAGTGCTTTTTAGAGATTTTAAAGAATGGCAGACATTGAAACATCTTCCAAGTACAAAATGCACTTTGACAGAAATGGAATAGTTACCAAGCAGAAGAAAATGTTCTCATACTGCAACTTCTATCATTGTCTTTAAAAACCCAATGTTTTAAATATAAATATTTACACAGACATTTTCAAATTCACAAATATTAGCACTGACTTACTGAGGCACTCTGCCATTGGTTTGTTCTAAGACGCATCTTTTCGACATTCCGCTACAAAAGACTTCACAACATTTTAATTCTCCAAGAAGCATGAATAAAAATAAAAGGTCAAATTAATTCCACATCAAACAGGGTTAATTACAGAAAAACAACATCAGTTACACATTTATTTGCTCATTCATAAGGGAAAAACTAACTAGGTTTTTATTTGCTTAAAATGTCTTTACTAAATGTACTGCTTCGCTGCACTACTTTCAGAGTGGGAAAAGGTAAATCATTCTTTATGCCATCATCACATATATCTAAATGTGGGTGCTACTAAAGGCCACAGTGGATTGCTGTGGATGTGAGGGAGGGTTACCCTTCCTGGAATCTGGAGGCTAACGTGCATTTGTTGTGTAGCAGCTCCACCACTTACACCTGCCTCGTCACCAGCAACGATGGCACACAGTGCTGGTCAGTGCATTTCAAGGACAACAAGGAATACAGCCTTCATTTACCTGTTTCCACACACACCCAGCTTTCCTACTCTTTGCGTTGAACACTAACCCTCACATCAGTTCGGTTTTTCTGGGTTTCTACATAAACAGTAAGCAGTAAATGTGTGCAACTATCAAATCACACAGACTATAAAATAACTGTTGAGGTAAGCCTGTGCCTTCCTAAAACACAATCACCTAACTGTGATTTTAAAATTTCACTGTAAGCATACACAGACTACAGTATCTTCCAAAACTGCCTGCTGGGAAGCAGGATGTTATGCAGAACTGAGTCTGAAATGTGGCATTAATTTTAACTTCCCTGGAGAGATGTAGTAACAAATGAAGGAACATTAAAAATTCTCGCTACATTGATCTTGTGAAATCTTTCGTAAAATCATTCTTTTCTTCCAACATAATTACAAGCAAATCTCTAAGCAGCAGTGTTCAGAGAGCATCATCATGGGCATACATACACACAGGCATACACAGAAACTTAACTCTTTGGGGAGGATATCAAAGAAAGGACAATTGCTAACAAATTCAGTGTACTGAATACACCTCATAATGTGAACAGCAGAAATTGTTAATGAGAAAAGGCACCTATATGTTTAATCCCTGAGAAATTAAGTCCACTAGGGCTGACGGTGCCATGGTTCACCTACTTCAAGTAGCACATACCCGATGTCACAAGAGAGAGGTCATCCAGAATGTACTGCGCTTGCACTGGTGCAATGTGTCCATCGGGTGGTGCTTCAGGACTGGGACATGGCAAACCTGCAGAGGATCAGAAAACAGAATATTCCCCGTAAGAGTGAATTCATTACTTACTGCTAAGGACTCGTAGGGGAAAAACCCCACCCTTTCTCTGCCCTTTCTCCACACTGTTTCACTTGCATGGACACAAATCTACAATTACTGAGAATAAAAGGAAAAACTGTGACTGACTTACCGTGATGCTCTCACATCAAAGGTGTGCAGTGACCTGCACGGAGCCAGGCTACCCTGACAGGACTAGCCCAGTACGTCTGCTGCCTGAACATGTACCTCGTAACTCTTGACAAGTTGGGAAAATTGTTCCCTAAAATAAAATCATATGCCTGAACCCCAGTTGAACTGTAAGATCAGCTGGATTTCTGGAGTTCTCTTAAAACCTTACTTCAGAAGTAAACTACTGAGTAGCTACATTGTTTAACAGGTACGCTACTGAAAGCTAAGCATGAAACCACCGTTTCAAAGCACCACTATTTGGTCGCTATTCAGGCCTTTCCAGAATGAAGTTCTGGGAATAGCTTGGACTCGAGGACTAAACAGAGGTCTCCTACCCACCTGTTGCTGTGTAATTTCATCTTCCACCCAGTGTGTGCTCCTGAGATATCAGTTATGGAAGTAGTATTCACACTTGCCTGTGTCTCAATTTTTGCAAGCAAAGTCTTTCCACAGAATGGGCCAAATTGCTTTTTGGGTGGTTTAACCTGAAAAGAATGAGAAAAGGCAAAACAAACTGTCTTTACTCCTTCCCCCATGAGGCTTATGGAAGAACAAACAAAGATTTTAATGCAATTACTCCCTGAACTTGAACGGTCCTTTCTTGCAAAGTTTAAAAAAACAAGCAGGTGGTTAGAGTGATGGCTCGTCACTCTGGTAACTCAAGAGTGCCTTTTCTCCAAGCACCCTAAGTGCTGCGGAATTCCTGGGAAGTGATCGCTGGGTCCATTTTATAGATAAGCAAACTGAATGCAAAAGATTTAACTGATTCCCCCGGCATCGCTGATCTGTGATAAGGGCAGAGGTTGCGATGAAATCTTTCAGTCATCACACATATGTGTGCTTGGTTTTGTTTTTGGTGAATTTCCCAGAAGAGGAAGGTTTGAAACAAAAAAAAACAACGAACTAACTAAAACTGAAGGGATGAGAAGAAGAAATGAATGAGGAGAGATACAGGGAGATGAAACTGTAAATTAACATGGCGAGACACAGGTTGAAGAAGATGCAGTAAAAGAACTGGGCCTGTTTCACAAAAGCTGTGACGAGATGCAATAAAACTCAACTTACCTTAAGGACATCATAGCAGCACAACACTTCTGGGTGTGTCTCCACGTTAAAAGTCTCCATGAAATCCAGCGTGATCAGGAAGCCATCTTCTACCTGGATACTGTAGCTGCAGGAGCTGAGCCGGGGGATAAGGTGTTGGATAGTCAGGGCTGGTGATTTCTCCAGTTCTTTTGGTAAAAACTGACTCTGACAGTGGGAAAAAAACAAAACCAAACAACCGGAAATGATTATCGTAGTTGTATTAACTCAGTTCAGCCGTGCTGGGTAAAGGTAGTGGATCTTTTTCTACACTAGTCTATCCCTTTGAGAAAGTTTCAGAGCCACATATCTAACTACCTATGAAATGAAGCTAGTCTCACATATTTCACCAGCGGGCATCTGTCACTGTTGAGAAAATTGCCCTCTCTCTCTGTTGTGGTAGGACCAGGGCCCGAGCATTATCCAGCACTCCTACCTCAGAAGCGGTGCAGGGAAGGACACCAGGAAAGCACCACTTAGACAGTCACAGGACTGGAGGTCAGAAATAAGTGTGATAGCTGGAAGCTCGTCAGAAACATTCCAAGGTGTTAAATTTGCAGCTTGTCTGCTGCATGGGAGTGTGTTGAGTGGTAGGATAGCTATCAGCTCCTCAATTCCAGAAGCCTCTGAATGCAGTTCTTTCTTTTTAATGCCTTTGTTGCCAGACATTTAGAATGTAATTGTATTCTCTGAGCAAAACCAGCTGTGCCTCTTGCCGACACAATTGGAGCCACAAATGCTCCCTGCTGAAGAGAAGCAAGAAGGAACAGCCACAAGTGCCCCGAGGATCTCTGCTTGTTGACAGCATCTGATCACTGTGAAGTGGTGCTTTGATCAGCTGGGAACAAAGGCTTTATGATGTGCTGCAAAAGCTGTATGAGCAATCCTTTAATTGATGAGGAATGCTGGACTGGCTGATAACACCGGTGTATTTTTGCACCACTGTGACACTGAATTAATTGTAAGAGGGAAATTGTTTGACTTTGAATTGTATCCTCAAACACACCATGCTAACCTCCACCAACAAAAATGCCATTATCCAGTCACTGATTAGTGATTATAAAATAGACCATACAGTTTAAGGTTGTCATTTTAACGGAAGGGGACCAAGTTGTGAATGAGAAAATTAACATTATTGTCCCTTAACTAACTATGGATTTCATTAGTCAAGACTCTAAGCTCCTTTTACTTCAGAGAATGAAACCTGAAGTTCCATGGGAACATGGAACATTCCCTATACCAGCTATGGAACAACATGTCCACCCTGTACCTATGCAACAGCCCTACTTGCTGCTACAGGACATATTTGGATGCAAGCGTTTACTTGGAAAGGAAAGCAGGAACAGGTAAAAGGATGCTGCTTTTATGTTTGTGTGGCTCTTAGCACAACTACAATACCACAACACAAGTAATGATGCACTTGGGCACCAAGTGTTTCTTTTAGCACAAGCTGTAAATTCAGAACAATCTTTCTCAGTCCATCTTCCCAGAAAGTTATGAGCAGCTGCTTTTATTTGACATAAACCTATCCACCACCACAGTGACTTAGCATCTGTGTGTGCTCTACTCTGAATTCATTGTCCTAGATTTCCAAACACAGCTGACAAATACACAGAGTAAAACAGTTAATAAATACCTAGAAATGCCTGTTAAAACTGAGCACTCTCCTAATTTTAAAATCCTGTTTGAAATGCCTCTCTTGGCCTAAAGAAGCAGAGAAATCTTGACTAATTCACCTGGAGGTTCTGGCTGCCTCTGAATCTAGCCTAACAGCACACTGCTTTGCACCAGCAGAAATCGTTGAGCTACAATGGGAATTAAATCTTTTCCTTTCATGCTATACTTGTAGAGGATTATCAGCAAGTGGGTTTTTTCCTTAATTGTTATTACCTCATTCTTCCCAGCTAAATGCACATTTCTGTAATTCCACCGATTGTGCCTCAAACTACAGAAGCATTTGGTTTTCCAGCACACCCTCCTGAGCTGCTGCAGGTGCTGCTTACAATACTGCCAGTGACACAGAGTTCACTGCCTCTCCTCAGTTTTTAAGGCCCCACTATAATGCCTCCTTCCACCTGCTGCAAGCCCAGGTTAAGAAACACCGCAAAACCCAAAACCTACTTGATATGCAGCGTTAGCAGTATACTGCTCACTGCCACGTCAGTGCAAAAAAATCTGCTTCTCTTAAAAACTGAAATTTCTTCATGCTGCTAATATCTGTCCCAGCTCTACAGCCCCTACAGGAGTAGTCTGGAGGCAATTATAGCAAGAGATAGGAATGAAAATATGAAATCCTTGGGTGTGAAAAAAGTCTCAGTGTGAAGTCTTACCCTAAGCATACAAGCCACAATATAATGAGTACTATCTTTACACCCCTAACTCCCTACTGAAATCATTAGGAAGTTAGAATCTCAAATCTTCTGCTAGTTCTGCATCAGAATCCTTTCCTATTACCTACAAAACCATTTTTCCCCAGGCATGGGATCTACTGTGTAAAGAAGGGATACTCAGGTTGGTAAGATTAAATTCTGTCTTACGAGAACCTCAGAGCTAGAAGGCAGCAACACCTTGGCTTCTATTTACCATAATGAACATGTCATCTTCATTCCTTAAAGGATGTTTAAAGGAATGTTATTAGACTAGAGCTCAGCATGAAAACATCTAAGGGAGAAATAGTGGAGAAAAGACCACTGTGTGGTAACATGCACACACATGCATGTAGAGACAGAAAAACACTGCATATAACCAAACATTATAGTTTCTGAAGGCTGTTTACTTTCTCTAGTAATAAAGAGGGTAAAGGGACACATGATGAAATTAAAGGCCAAAAACACAAATCTGATACAAAAACAGTATTAAGAAATAGCATATAATTAATCTGTGTAATGTGCTGTCATATGAAATTTAAGGCAAACTTTTGCATGCTAGTGCCGTATATTCAGCTTACGCTAAGTAGCATACAGACAATGCAGGATCTATTGCACAGGATTACGCTTCTGTATGGGAGTATACTTTAAAAATCACTTACTGAACTGTATCTTCCACTGAAGTGTAAGATGCTGGCCAGTATCAAAGGCAGGAGATTGGACTCAAGGGATCCTTAGCCCGGATCCATTCTAGCCATGCATATTCCAGAATTACTCTGAGCTGCCCAGGTGCTAGTTGAGAGGGTCTTCAGGGCAGTGATTGCTCTGTGTTCACGTAGCAAAAAATAGCACCATGCCTCTGCACAGAGCTGGGATCCCCACAGGCTGTTATAGTACAAGTAAGAACAGTGCCCCGCTAATACCCTAGTAATTCAGAAAACTGGCCTTCACCACGTTTTGAAGGAGAAAGTTAGAGACTAATAGTTCTTCATGCTTCATTACATCTATCTCCTTTAAACTCATTCTCCTAATTTTGATGCAAGATTTTCATAATACAGTTTGGAAAAATGTGAGTCATCATCAATAAACTCTCTTGACTTGTGCTCACATGAGTAGCCAAAACTAGCTGACCCAACAGAAGATACTCTGCTAGTCCATGGGAATTTGCAGCTTGAAGATGAAAAGGCTTAGACTGGACCTTACTTTTCTCCCAGTATCTCCTGGATGTGGCCGCTGGGAGTTTCCTTTGTCAGGGCAGTATTTTTTCCATAAGTCTGCAGGCAAGAAAGTCATAAACCAGCCAGCACAAAAAGGATCAAATGATTTTTTAACATCTGCCAGTAGAAATGATGTCCCTTGACTTCTCAGTCCAAGCTTTAGAGCTGTCCAGAGAGTGCTCAATTATGCTTAGGCCATATTTTTATTAGAATCACAGTGAGCTGTTTGCCAGAGGCTTGAACTCTGAAAAATGATCCCCTCAAAACTTGCAAGTCCATTGTCATTGGCTCATTAGGTCTCCAATGAAAAGGTGGGTCATAAATTGTATCACCGAGCCATGACAAAATTTCAAGCTGCTTTGATCACAATTCACTGTGACCATGAAACAGCTTCTGAACAAGATTAAATACAGCAGAAGTAAGCCTTAGGTCTGCTTTCCCAGCCACTGTACCCCCAAATCAGTTCTCTGCAGCATCTACCTTCTACAGCACTTAACTAAGCATCTTCCCAGTAAGTCAAGGCAGTGATGTTACCTCTCATTTTGCAGATGGATGTTCAAAGGTGGTATCAAGTGACTTGCCCAAGATAACACAGAAGTCTGCAAATGCAGTGACCTGAAATGAATCAAGTGTCTCATCTAAAAGACTCTCTGCGCCTCCCATGCTCACTTGGAAAAGGTGAGCCCCGTTTACTCCAGGCACTAAAGAGCAGAGACAGGGTTGGAGAAACTGAGCCTCATAAATTACAGTTAAAAGCAACTCCTGCTAAATTGCAGAAATAAGGAAATGCTGGTCAACTAATGCTCCTTAATCCCTCGAGCTTTTTAAACAAAGCATTGTTTTATCTTCAGCAGTTCACCTACAGCTGCTCAGCTCTGACTTGTCAACCTCCTGTAATAATCATCATGTTTCCTCCACAGCTGGGGAGCTCTAGTCACTGACTAGTACAGAGCACGGCATTTCTCCAACATGTTTCAAGAAGATGGTCCCTGCCCAAAGAGGGTACAGTCTAACATAGCGACATATCTAAAATGTGGATATTAATGTGGAGCAGTGAGAGGCACTGTAAGGGACTGAGACAGTATCAATCAATGCCACAAGCAACTGCGCTGAAGAACAGCATTCCTTGTGTTGCATCTATTGTGGGGAGGGCACTGTTGCCTTCCCTTGTATGAAGGCAACACACCTGAGCTGCCCTGGTGACATTCATATTACTTTACCAAACGCCTGGAACTCTGAGGCTTTGCTCACCAGAACACATTTCAGCCATAAGGCTAGGTTCCCACTGGGAGATATGGCCAGAGTCATAAAATTTGGATCAAAAAAAAATTTCAAACCTTTCCAAAGAGCGAATGGGCTCTGAATATAAATAGTTTCAACCTACAAGTCTGGGTGCAGACAAGAGCATATCTAAAAGGAACATTAGGGAACAAATGTGTGTTTCTGGCCTTGTTGCAGTTTAAGAACTATGGAAGGTCAAGCAACAAGAGCTGGACAACAAATTCAAGAGTCTTCAGGTAGCTGTGATGCTCAGAGGCCTTTCACAATGGCTTCTCCTGCCTTATCTTTCTTTCCATAGTGACACATGGGAAATACAAGAAATGTCCCAGAGGCTGCCATCAGCTTTCAACAAGGAACAGCCTCTTTATTGTCTGCAGGAGGCAGGTCTGAAAGGCAAGGAACCAAGACGTGCAAGTCACCGAGTAAGAGAAGCCTGCAGCCCTTGGGCAGACTGCAACAGGCAGGTCAGGAGGGAGGGCAAACCAGCTCTTCCCAGCACATCTGTCTCCATCTCTGCCTAAGCGAGGAGAAGCATAATTATCTCACGCTGGAAAATAAAGGAGAAAAAAAGAGCCTGTCAATATCAGCCTGCTCAGACAGGAGCCCAAAAATCAAATAGGGCAGCTTTTGCCCTCATCTCATGAAGGTGATCTGCAGAGACCTTTGCTTTGCAGCCCAGCCCAGGGGCTGGAGTGGCTTCAGCACTTGCATCTAAAGGCCTCTGAAATGTGAACAGGTTCCAGCACACCAGCTGCACCACAGTAATTCCCAATGCACACATTTCCACCCATCAGGGTAGCCCAGCCCTTCAATATTGCTGATAAGCTCCCTCTACTAGTGTTATGTTCAAGGAGGGGACATAAGTATGCACACATGAATGGTCAATGCAAAGCTGCCAGTCTGCTAGTTCACAGCTGTTCATTCTGCACCTTCATATTAACATCAGGCACATGCTTTATAGCATAAGTAAATCCATATACTTGGGCTAAAAGCCATCACTTTAGGAAGGGGAGGTTGAATGAATAGGTCTGTTCCAATACACTGGAGATATGAGGAGTTTGAATCTTGAATCAGACCCAGGCAGCCAGGGCTGGAGAGGGTTTGTAATAGGCTGGAGTTGGGAAGCTATATGCCAAGATGGCATTAAGCACTGGAAGTTAGATCCAATTCTGCATTTCAGCACTGGGGAGGTCTAAGAAACTATCTTCCCATCTATGACAATATTTACTGAGCAGTATGTGTGCTGGTTCTTTCCAGACAGGATTCAGCTCTAGGTGGGCAAAGCTGCACCCACAAAGGATGGATCTGACATGTGTAGGCACACGTTCCACTGCAAAGTGAATCCTGAGGTGCCGATCACTGCGCTGATTCAGACAGACACTTCGCTGCCTGACAACACATAAGCTTTCCCTAGTTCTGAACTGAGAAGCAGAGCCAGGCAGAAGTCAGCTAGCTAAACCTCATGCTGTATGCCCTTCTGAACAAGAGATCTGTGCCTGGCCCTGTCTCCCATTTAACGAGCAGATCACTGTATCTGGTGTCAGTGATATGTGGACTCTGCTGCTTCTTGGCCTGTGTCCTTTCCAGGGAGAGTAAGCAAACTATTTCTCCATTAGACTTCGCAACTCGATTGTTAGTTTTTCCAACACATCTACTAACTCAGGTCCAGAATACTCAGTATCTCAGTACCCAGGGACCAAGATACACTCATTTTCGCAAGGCTGGCTGCACTGGCAGCCATGAAGACTGAAAGTGTCTGCAGTGGGCAGTGTAAGACAAGTTTCTTGCTTCTCCATTCAATCCGTCTAAAGCTGAACACAGGTAGATGCTGCCTAAGGAGTAACCAAAACCAACTGCCAGTGCACCATTTTACTGCAACACAATATTGCTGTCCCTAACGGCAGCAATTAGCCCACAGCCACTCTGCAAACCAGCGCCTCTGCTCACAGTCCTGACTAACCCCCTGTACCTTCTTCCAGCTGCACCAGGCGCATAGGGAATACTGAAAACAGCACAAAAAACCCACAGCTTTCATCTCAATGCTAGTTTTGGGACTGGATTTAAGTGAAGGTTGTTGGTAGGGAAGTATCTCCTGATCTAGCAAGAGCTCACCTGTGCATGTCCTCTTGTTTTCATGCAGTGTGTAGCCAATCCGACAGCTGCAATAGTAGCCCCCCACATAGTTGTGACAGTGATGATTGCAGAGGGGTTCACCACCAAACAGCTGTTTGCACTCATCGATATCTAATGGGTGAAGCACAGAATTAGGCAAACAACACTCTTCAACAACACTTTGTCTTGGTCTGAGCCACTCTGTGTTTTGTGAGGTTGGCTTGTTTGCCTTTGGTTGCTGTGCCCTTTTGCATCTGCCTCCATACAGTAAGACCAGCTTCTCCCACCTCACACCAGCAGAGACAGCCTATGAGAGCACAGGGAAGCACCAACCCCACCATAGCTGTGTTTCTTTCATCTACAAGAGGGGCTGGTCTCTTACCTTCAGCAGCATAAAAGGCCTCAAAGCCTGTGAATGGTTTCTCATTGGAGTAGTCAGACCGAAACACTACCATGAGGTTGTTGTCAACGGAGACGTATGTCTTGTTGCCCGGAGCCTCCTCAGTGTCTGTACTATCCTTTCCACACAGCGTAGCCAAGGTCCTCCCACCAGAGCTCAGCTGCAAAATGGGCAGACAAATCTACCAGATGAGCACAGAGCTTTGCTCTTCCCAACCTGCTGCCATGGCTTGGAAAGCATGTATTTAATGGTGTGAGAAAGGAGGCTTGGATGCTCTCAAAAGGTGCTTCTAGAGGCCAGTCTAGATCCAGGGACAGGTAAGAGAAGATTTCCCCTATTCTCTGTGACTTAAGCCCATAACTTTGTCTCTCTTTTTCCTTTCAGAGGCCCACATAAAGCTGTGATGCCAGCCTGGGCTACCAGCACCATGCTTTGTTTATAATGCTCTTGTTAACTTGGCACTCTCAGTGACAATCAGATCTCGGTAAAGCCAGAGACAACTGGGGCAAAAAGGTTTCATACACTGACAAATTCAAATGTATAGTAAAAGGTCTCTCTAAACTAGTGACTCACTTGCTCTATGATTCACTTATTACAGTTCCAGCTCTTCATTTATCTTGTGTTTTTAATACAAGAGAAATGTTCTGATACATGGGGTTCATGTTGTACATGGTAGTGATAGAACCGTGTACTACAGACCTACCAGAAATGAGTACTCTGTCCTGCCCAAAGGAAATTACATGAAGAACAACACGGATTTGGGGAATGGGAGCAACCTGCCACATAAAACCACGGAAGTGAGATCTTCCTAAATGGGAACAAGGCTCCCTGATTCAGTTCCATCAGATTCAAAAGTACTGCTGATGCATTGGTTTTGCATACTCCCTGTGTATACAGCTCCCTCTTTAATGTGTATCAGGCCCATGCAAACAACAAAATGAGTGCAGAGAGAGCATGGCCTCAAATCAGCGATGGGGCCGCCTAGACTAGAACACATGCTAGCACATGGAGTACAAACCTTTCAGGGCCATCGCTGATCATCCAAACACTTCCCCAAGACAGTATCTTTGTTTCTCTTCCTGAGGTTGTTTCTCAAATTAGCTAGCAAACACACGATAGCAAGTGCTGCAAGTGCACGTTTAGACAAGCTGACAGTATCTTGTTTAGACTATCGCTTACACTTTTACGGTCTCCCATTATACTCTGTGTAAAGCACTACTTGTTAATTTAAAACACACACTGTAACTTCAGCAAAATGAAGCTCAAATGTTGTTTTGGGCAAAATTTCAAACCTTTTGCTTCACGAGAGGGGAACATCAGAATTTTCTGAGCACAAACAACTGAAGTTTCAGATGTTCCAACATGACAACCAGTTCTACTTCCTGGTCCCGTGGGCCTCAATAAACACATCATTTAGAAATCAGCTGAGCCTGAACTTTACTAGCAGACTAGAAGCAAGTGCTTACAACAGTTATGTTGGTCCTGCATGCGTCCAGGATCACATATACACAGTTTTTAACAGCTTCACCTGCTACACGTCACCCTGCCCTACACATACCTTCACATAATCGTATTCACACAGGTAGGACAGCTCCAGGTTGAAATGCGTGAAGTAGATGCAGACAGAATATCCCTTGGGGACAGTAATATTCCAGATTCTCTCCTTGTGATTTGGGTAGACATTTGGGAAGTTGGGGGACGTGATCCTCCCATACATTTTCTGCAGCACAATGCTGCTGCTTACTCCACTGTAAAGCATAGCTAGCAAGACAAACAGCCTGTGTCAAAGGAACAGAGATTAATGGAGAAAGAGTGAGCATCAACTCAGATCATACCCCAAAAGCCACACATCCAAGCTGCCAGTCTCGGTACCAAATCACAGATATCTCAGCACTAGCTGAAATCTTCATGCCCAACACGCTTCTCACTTGACAATGGAAGAAATCAGGAGGTATCAGTGGAGTCATACTGTAGTAACAGCTAAATAAGATGAGAACCGCAGTCATGCCTTCTAAGGCCTGCACAAAGCCAAGTGGCCAGAGGAGCTGCGGAGGTCCCTGCGACTGCACTTACCTCATCGTGTTGCTCTCCTGTCTGAGCCTGCTCTGCTCTAAGCCCTGGGGAAGGAACCTCTTCTGACGTATTTGCATTTGGGGGCAGATGTATTTATTGTGTGTGCTCTGCTGTGTTTGTCTGGATGTTGAACTCTGATGTTTATCTCCCTTCCACCCCCTTCAGCCTGCTGAGTTCTGGGAACAGCAATTACTAAAAACCAGGCTTGTGTTCAGCACATGAGGCCTCAGTCAATGACAGGGAGAGGCAGACAGAGATGGAGCGGATGGATTAGGAATGCTGCAGGCTCTTGGAGGGAGCCGCAGTATTGCAGCTCTGCGGGAAGGCAGGCAGTGGGAAGAGGTACAGAGTGGCTCCAGACAGTGTGTGCATGGGGGAGCGAGGGGAGCTGCGCAATGCTCCTTCCCTCTAACCAACTGATCTACAATTACTATTAATGCAAACAGCATGTTACTGGAAGTACAGTTTCTTCCGTTGTCAGAGCAGGAAGGTGTTGAAAACAAAATAATGGGGGACATTACAGGATTTCAGAATAGTGAGTGAGTCTGGTTAGATGGTTCTGTGTAATGGGACAGGAATACTCAGGCGTCACAACACTACAACACACACAGGCACAAGTTTAAGAGAGGCCAAAGTCTTCCAGTTCTCAGCTGCACATTTTAATCCAGTGCAAGCTTGTGTTGACTGAAACCTGCTCCATGCCTTGTTTATACCCATGGATTACTTTTTATCCCATCCACCCTGGAACACCAATAAGGTAGAAAACCATACTTAATAAATTATGTCTTTTGAACCTGGTTTGCTACAGAAACAAGACAAAATTCCTCTGTGCTCACATCTGCCTGTGTAACCTAGCTTACTAACTTTAAAAGCCCAATGGTCAATTTCTACCAAATCTGACAGAAGAGGAGCAGTTCCAAGGATATCAGTGCAATGGAAATAGGCAGATTGATAAAAAAAATGAATTCCTATTACTGGGATTCCCTGAGGAAAAAACTGAGAAATGAACTCACATTTCTTTTAAACATTTATGAATCCACACAGGGATTTCATACCACTGTAACACCCCAGGGAATTCAACTGGGAGAGCCAACGCTATAGGACATAAAACTTTATTAATTCCACTGCTTGCAGACTGCTTCTTTCCAAGTCTGCATTTAGGTTTCCCACAAAACTCCGATTCCAGCACATACGGAGATAGGCCTAAATTTATAGAGGGTGAAAAGCCAGATATGTTAATGCAGAACCTAGGTCTCACCTCCTCCCTGACAAAAACGGACAGAGAAGAGGAAAACTGATTTGCAGCAGGGAACAGACTACTGCACTGCACATGCAAGGAAATTTATACTGAGATATCCTGTAATTAAATGGACACCTTTTCATACTCATTTTTGAACAGCCAAAAAATCATTACCCCAGGCAGTGAAGTTGGTGCTGGCAGGAAAGCAGGAGTTATTGCATGAACAGAACTAAAGCCAACAAACCATTTAGCAGACTGCAAACAGAAAAAAACATTTAATAAAGTGAAGGAGAAACCAGTAGCAGTAATAATTAATTGCGTAGCAGCAGTACCTACAAGCATGGTTAATGGACAAGAACCCAGAGGGGACTAGCTTTTCCCAAGGCCCACTAGCTGCTAAAATGATCCTATCAACACATGCAAGACGTAGACTTTATACTGGCTGGAAATGAGGGAAGATAAAGAAATTTTTGCAAAAAATCAGTCCGTGCCTAACTGAGCTGGTGCTTGATTCCCAAAGACATAAATACTTCCAGAGACGTCCCACATTAGGCTTCCTGCTCAGTTCAGTAGCAGAGGCACAGAGTCAATTCTGATCTTAGGTCTGAAAAGTTTCTCACAGTCCCAGAATTCGATGAGGCCCCTGAAGCTGATGGTTGCTGCCTAGCCTGAAATAAGAAAGTTGACCTAATAAACTGTAATCCTGGAGACTAAGAAACTGAATGCTTGGTGCACATATTAGCTTTCCTCTGGCATGGTCTGTGGAGAGGCAAGACTGCTGTGATTTTAGTCCTTAGCACCTGACACGAACAACGGCCAAAAACATTGTCCCTGTTTCTTTGCCCAGAAACCTTCTACCTCCAAAAGGCCACTGGGCATCAGCTAGCCAGGTGCAGCAGTATCTTGAGAGCACGGTGACAGCTAACCTCAGGCCCCACAGATGCTCCTTTTGCCCACAATTTCCCTTTTGTCTGCGCAGGAATAAGCCAGCCTGTAGGCTGAGTGGACTTCATCCATGTCACTGCAGTTTCCAGCTGTCTGTAACTTGCTGAGTTAGTGATCCACTTTAGGAAGCCTGGGTGTTATCTGAAATGACAGATGCCTCTTGAGAAGACTGCCCAGCTGTCTTCTTGTGGCCCTGTCTCCTTCCATGCTCGAGGGCTGAGGTAGCACAAAGATAAGCAGTCACTTTCAAGAGAACCACCAACATGTGTGAAAGCCAAGGTTCACAGAAAGGACTTCCCCTTGAAAAAAAAACCAACCTTCTGTGGAATGGAGGAATATGGAATGACACAGAGATACATGAGCCCATACTCTCCCTCAAACCCTGCACAGCTTCTCAAAATACGCTTTTACTACTCGACACTGAGGTCTGTCAAGGAAAGGTTTCAAATCCCTCCTGTGGCAACAGTAAGTGCAGACTGCTAAGCCAGACACATGAATAAGTCAGCAAGAGCAGAGCTGCTCAGACAACACAGTGCCCCTCAGGCTGGTACCACTAAGATCCAGAGACCTGATGATCTCCACTCTTCCTGCAAAACCAGACAGCAGCAGGAACCAACTGAAAAGATGAGAAGGCTGGAAAGCAGTTGTGCAGCTAGCGTCTTCATAAAAGTTGTGTGAGATCCAGGCTAAGTCCTGGGTTAGCTCTTCAGTTCAGATTTCCCTCTGACCCCAAGTTTTGAAACTGGAAAAATGTTACCTGAGGTAAATTCTGCCAAAGCTATGTTCCTACAGAAAGAGCTTCAGCTGTGACAAACTCTGAGATCCTGTAAAAATGAAGTCAATACAGTCCCACATCCACTTAATCAAAAAAGTCCCAGACAGCTCTGTTCTCAAATGGACCATGCAAAACCACACACTGCCTCAGAAAATCATCTTGTGCCAGGGGAGAAAGCCATCTCTGGGCCTTTGAAAGGCAGCTCCTGCATTCTGACAGTAATTCCATGAAAACCACTGCTATGACTGATCACAGTCATGATCAGATGTTTCGGGTGTAATAAACAGGACAGTGAGCATCTGAACGTGCCTCCAGATCTGAAACACAGGTACAGTCCCAAAGCAAAAGGCTGGTTAATGGAGGCAAAGCATGCACAGGCCTTCCCGGCTTCTAAGATGAGACAGTGCAGTCATTTAACATAGCAGTGGCCATCCTTGCATCACAAACCAGGAGAACAAATGAGCGTAATAACTGCTTGCTGTGATCCCCGAAGACATTGCTCCCCACTGCCCCTTACTTCTCAAATGCCAGCTGCCTCTGCAGAGCCCTAAGAGATTGTTTGGATGCTTGCTGTTCCGTGGCTAAATCCAAACCTCCTGCATTGAGGGGTTCAGAGGACTAGGGGGAGGACACAGCAAAGGAAAAGGCATTCTGTTTCCTCATTACAAATCAAACAGCGTGACTGACATCAAAAGACAAGCACACAGACGGAGCAAGCAGAGCATGGAGTGGGGCAGGGGGCAGAGCCCGGCTGCTGTGAAACAGGAAAAAAATAATCTTGCCAGGGCAAAAATAGCAGAGAAAGCTCATGCAATGGAGCAAGATACTTTCTCTCTTCAGATAGGGCATGCTTTCCTCCTTCCCATGCTCTCTACTGCTACCCGATTGTTTTATATTCTGTTTGCAAAGATGGACTCCAGCTGCTACAGAGTGCTAAGGCACATTTCTCCACCAGCGAAAAAAATCACTGGATTTGTCCACTCTACTCTGCACTACCTGACTTCCAAAGGACAGCCAATGCAATTCTACAGTGTCATCCTCATCTGAAAGCACTCGGATGTGAGCTCAAATTGCCTAGGAAGATCAACAGAAGCTCTGGGGTAAAGATAGTGGTCGACAGCTTTGCTCCTCTGCCGTGAACAGAGCTCTCAAAAACAAAGGTAACTGTCATCTGTGTGGGGCTGGTCTCAGGCTGTGAAACACGACCTCTTCAGGAGCACCACAAAGCTCTGAGTGCAAAGTACATGTCTCTGAACATGTGTGTCTGTGTGTGCGTGCATGTGTGCATGCACGTTAGAGACCACACACACACAATTTATAAATTATGTATGTGTACACAATCAAAATGATAATGTGCAAATACCTGTATAACTTCTGCTCAACTCCACAGCTGCAGAATCCAACAGTACGTAGTTTTCACATATGCCAGCCCATTTCAACCACTGCACAGATGTATGTGTATGTATTTATGCACATGACTATACAAATTCTAAGGCAAACCCCTGCGATGCACACACTCATCCCCTTGGGGAGAGAATATGACAGCACGCAAGTAAGAGATGCTGGTCACATTACTCTGCCTTCTCCTAGAAAAAACTCCGACTCTGCCACAGGGAAGACAGCATAAGAATTGCTTAGGTCAGAATCTCTTTTTCCCTCGCCTGCCTCCCCAGACCCATTAGCCTGGCTCCCAAAAATTGAACTAGCTCACAAAGCTACCGTCTTGCTCCTGCCCACATCTTTGGTAGCTGCAGCTTGTCTGCTGGGCTGGCTCTAAGTCTGTGACTTCACTGTAGCAGCTGTTTGTGCTGGGAAGAGAATTTGGTTACAATTCAGATACAGCTAGAGCCAAAGCTACTAAACAGAGAAGTGCTGTCTTCTCTCCAAGCAAACATGCTATGCACGTTACAGGCACAGCCAACACACTTTCCTTGGGTAAGCCTGCCTCCAAACAGCTAAGAGGAACAAAGGGGACGGCTGAATAACACACGTCTAACATGTATCTCTTGTCCAACATGAAGTCTCAAAGGAGAGAAGGCAGACTGGGGGCAACAACAAAGAAAAGCAAGAAAATTATGACAAAATCTCTATACTAGAGGACACAAAGACCAACCAAGGATGAGCCCATCAGGAACTCCCTATTGTGAATAGAGTGAGGCTAATCAAAAGCCTCCCCTGAACCTACCATAGCCTCATCCAGCAAGCAGTTTGGCCTTGCGAAGTAATTAGGAGAGTTTTCAGCTCCCAGAACAGCACCCAGGAATGACAATCTCATTTAGAGAGTACTTTGAGGTGAAACACCTGCCATGATGACTGGAAGGCCTGGAAAGTCACTTGTCAGCTTAGAAAAGGCTATTAGCATGTGCCATTCCCTCCAGCGCACAGTCTCCAACAAGAGGATCCACTTGAGCAGTAGCCTCTCTCCAAAATCATTCTTTTTCAAGGGAGAACTGAAAAGCAACCTTGGCAGAAGAACCATATCCATCCCCGGCTGGATTTTCCATATAATCCTCCACTGTTATATCCTTTCTTAAACAAAGCTTAAACCCTTTCCTATCTGCAGAACCAGACTCTGCAGTGTACAGCGACCACCACTAAATTTGGGATGAAGCCCTTGTTTTTCAAAGAAGGGGAACCAAGACTTCATCTTCCACATCAAAACCACAGCAGACAAGTTGCTCTCAGCTGGGAGCACAAGGTCTGCTTTTGGAAGTCAGAGCTTGGCTGCTTGTCTCTATTTCCATCTCCCTTTCATGTCTTCCTTCTTCTTTCATGACTGCTCTTCCTCTACATGCAATAATTAACACTGTGAAGATCTCTATTCATCTCCCAAATGTATAACTTCCCGAGACTGGAGGAGACAGTAAATCCCTGAGGCTCACTCCCCGCTCAGGAAGAGGGAGAAGCTGAGAAACGTGCCGAAGAATAGGTTTCAACAGCATTAGGACTGGCAAATTCATTAAACCCACCTGCAACAGGTTCCTTGTCCATATATACATCCAAATGCATTTTCTACTCATCCCTGTTCAACTCAAAAACATTTTTCACCATTTCTCTTCCTCTGCAATTGTCCATAACCTCATTTTTTTCTAACAAAGAAGCTATTACTCCACTAATCTAGATAAACAGTAAAGCCAGCCCAAAGCACTCCCAAAATAAGAGCTACTGCTCAGACATTAAAGAGTTAGTATGATACATTGAAATGGACAAATCTTCCCTCTGGCTAAATCCCTCACTGAATACACACAACCTCATTCCTGCCTTGGAGAAAATAGATTGAAGGCAATGTCAGGGCCAACAGTCGCATCAATCAGAACCCGTGTATTAAAAAGCCTGTAGCACTCCAGGCAGAAAACCCCAAACCTACCAAGCAATCAGCTGTGCTAAACTTTTGCTTACCACCTCAATGGAATAATATGCCTTTCCCAGCTATTTCAAATCGACCCCCCTTCAAAGAAGTCTCGGATCCCTCATTGTTCTCTTCTCTTTGGAGGATAAGTGAGGTACCTTCTAGATGCATTGCCTTTTACAAAGACTGGCCTTATCTATCTTATTTTTAAGGCAGGAATGTCAAATCTATTTCTGCCCAAAAGAACTGGAAATGTTCAAACCAAACAGTGTCTTTCAGTCTGGATCGAAGCTCACTTTTGCCAGAATTCCATCCTAATGCTCTTGTTTCTTGCCCCAGGGGAAAAAAAAACCAAGCCCACCAAAATGCAGGGCAAGAATTCTGTGCTGCATGGACACTTTACTCCTCAGATTCTTTGCTAGTTTTTGCTTCTCTCACAGAAATCTTCACAAAGCAATAACCAGCAAAACATCCTTTGCTCCCATGTGCTTTTGTTTTGGGCGATGTCAAACACTTGGATTTGAGGTGAGATTGCTATTGTTTCATAGAGAAATTTACCTTGTCTTTTAAATGAGTGGGACACTTACCTGGGCTTCCTGCTCCTCACTGTTCAACATGTTCAGTGAAATCCACAACACTGAAGTTTCTGCAGCAGTCATGACTAAAGCTTGAACAATAGAGGAAATCTGCAAAAAGAAAATAACAGCATTTAAATACAGTTTTCAACAAAACACAATTAAACAGAAGCACTACAAAGGAGGAGTGAGCTCGTGCCAACGCAGCACTGTATTCTGTCTCAGAAAAATCTGCACTTCAGAGGTAGGCAGAGCTATAACCTGGCTGTACAAAAACAAATGCTCAGGTGTTGGTACTCAAATACTCCTTAGATTAAGAGGTTACCAGACTGCTGAGCGTGATTACCTATGTGGCTTTTTCACACCTGCTGGACATATTGCCACCTGTTTTTACCTACTAACAGCAGGCCCACCACTTGTTGAGCCTCAAAGCTGTATGCAAAAAAAGCCCACTTGAAATTGTTGACATACCCTGGAGGCATCGGGCCTGCTGGCAAGTGAAGGGAGACCTGGTGGATGCTATAGCTCTCTAACTTAAAATTAGGCACAGAGTCTGTGAAAGTATATCCTAAATTGCCCCAGCCGTAATATCTGCCAGTGACTTCCACTAGCCACCAAACGGCTGCAAGAGCTTACTTTGCTCCAGCAATGCTCAGCTTTACTGGAAAGGCAAACAAAACCATTTGGCTATATGCAGAGTTAACTTGGTACAAGGATATTGGATCTAACCTGGATTCCAACCTGAATGCCAAGGCACTCACAGCACTGAGTACTTAATGGTTTTAGTCAAGCTCCGGGCCTCCTTAGCTAACAAATAAAAATGAAAGACGACACTCTGGGGGGTCAAAATGAAAATACTTCAGGTACACCTCTGTGGGGCATGCAAAAGGGAAACAGTCTTGCTATAGCATGTGTTTATCTGAAGTGGCAAGAGCAATACAGAGCGACCAAGCAGCCAGCAAATTAAAAGATCATTGCCTGTAATTTAAATGTTTGGCTGGGATCCCCTGAGGCCTGCTAGGAAGAATCTCTGAGGAAAGGAAGATATTTTGTTTGATATATGTTAGCAAGGAGGAAACTGAGCCAGAGCGCTAGCACGGCTGGAAGAATTATTCTTGCTGAAGTCAGATTATTCTAACTTGTCTGTTAGCCTCTGCTTAGCAGCACTGTAATGACCCAAAATTGCAGCTGACAGATTGGTGCTGAGAGTTTGTCTCATTGAGGCTACCGCATGTGGATGGGCCATTACTCTTTCAATTTTGGTCTCTGATGCCTGTTAACATACATTAGGCTTTTCCATATGGTGCTTTTTAGTCTGGTGTCCAGGGCAGCTGCCTGGGCCTCTGTCCCCACCCACATGCTCAGGCCCTGTCTAATGAAAATGGATTATGGCCCCAGCTTAGTAATGGGACACAGATGGACCAAATGGTTTTTCGCTTTGAAACGTATTTTCATTTAAGAAAGTCTCCAAAGACTATGGGGTTTTTATTCTTGTATCACTGTAATATTCCCCCCTAATACACTGCAATCTTCAGACAGGTGAGGAATTCAAAGTTCTGAACTTTCAAGTTTAACTGGATCTGGAAATCTACAGACCCATGTCCTATTCTAGTACTGCTATTCTGGTGATGGCCTTGACAGTCACTTGCATGTTCTCTCACTTTCCTCCTCTCCTATCTCACCTCTTCGACTCGTACTGAAAGATCTTCAGCATGAGAAGCAGCATTTTTTGGGGCAGACCTTCTGTTAAGGCCTGACAGGCTGTCGAACCAGCCTCAGCTGAGGGACTGTACTGCCTCCCGCAATACAGATAGTAATGAGAAATTAAACAACTGTTTCGCTATTATGAAAGCCTTGTACAGACATAGCAAAAGGAGCCTCCACAGTCACACGTGAGAACACATGACAGGGGACTGTGCAATGGGCATGGCAATCAAGGGTCATCCCCCAGCAGGACTCCTCATTCTTCAAGTTATTCTTCTTGTTCATAATATTTGTAGTCCAAGAAGAAGCAGAGTTCAAATGTCAGAGAAGAGTCAAACACTTCCACATAATTTGTGGGAAAACAAAGTTCATCTTTTAGATGACACCAGTGTAGTACCATACACTCACCAACAAATGTGCAGAGTTAAGGTATGCAGTAGGCAAACATCTGCTGCAAGATGGGAGCCATCTGTATCTTGGGCCAAGTGTCCTGTGCCATAAGTTGCCACTGCAAGCCTATAGCCCAGTAGTGTTTTGCAAACAGCATTTCACATGCCTCTTACACTAACTTGCTCTTGGTGGCTAGCCTGGGACATCTCATACTCAATTCCATGCAGACTAGACAGGTCTCAGTTGCAGCCCGCATTGCCACAGTGATCTGGGAAGCCACGCAGAACGAACTCCCCTTTGCTGCCTGCTTTGATGACCCACTTGTTCTGTGGTACACCCTCTAGGAGATGGAGTTCCCTCACATTCTGCGTCTGTACTCTGCACTGGGAAGTTCCCAAGGGCTCATGAGGCTGTCTCCAACTTTCCAAAGTGCTCGTTGTTATTTATGGTTTCTGCCCTCGTGCTAAGTCTTTTCAAATAATTTGGAAATAATCCCCTTAATGCTAGGGCAGTGTTTGCCAATGACATCTCATTTACCAGGCAGTCTATCTTCCCAGAGAGGTGAAGCTGAGTTAAATGTTTCTGAGGGACAGGGCAAGTGTCTGTCTATGTGCACGTGTGAAAATGGGATGGGACTCAGGAAAACAATTCTCCTCGAATCTTTCAGCCTTCATTACAATTCTTCTTTTAAGTGCCAGCTCTGATTTATGGCCTGCCATTCAGAGGCTATGAAGGCCTGCAGCGAGAACTGACCAGCTGTCAGAACAGGGCTTAAAGAAACAGGAAACATATTAACTTGTCTCTCCGCCTGCCCAGATCCCCCAACTGATACAGGAGCTGACAAAGATAGGCTGTTCTTGGCACATTACTTCCACTGAGAGCATTGCTTGGGGCTGTGACTGTTCAAAGGTGGAGACACCCAGAACGACACCCAGAACCATGTGAAGATTCCGCAGGTGCAGTAGTTTGGACATAGCTGTATCTTGTGCCCCAAGAGAGAGACTTGCTGGATTGTGGTCCCCACCCTCCTGCTTGCTTCCTGCAGGATCTTTAATACATTAGCTGGTACTTTGGTTTGTCTCCTGTTAAATAGAAATGATCATTCTTGTTTGATGCATAAGAATGTTGGCAAAGGTGGATCATCTCATGAAGACTCCTTCATGAAAACTGCTAGTTAAATAAAAATGGAAGCAACTACTTATCTGAAAATAAGAATACGCAAATACAGACATGCACAGCCACTTTCTCCTTACGGCAATAACACTCAGCAATTTCATATTTTATATCAAGCCAGAATAATAACATAAGAAGATTGACAAAATGCAGGCCCACCTGTGACTAAATGGTTTAAAGGGAGGGAGGACATTCCCTTACCTCACCCTACTGGGTTTATGTACTCTCTTCCACAGCTTCCGAGTCACACACTATTTAGACAGCTTTGCAATATGGAGACATTTCCATTTTTATTCTGGAATGGAGCAAAAGGCCACCAGTGGCATTTCTTCTCAGTTATTCTGCTTCTAGCCCACTCTGTCCCATGGAATGACAAGCTGCCTTCCAGCACTGAACAGGGTGTAGTTATCTTTTTTGGAAGAGCAATCATAAGGCACTTTCCAGCCTGCTGGCTCCCAGCAGTGGGTAAATTCATCACTTCACAGATGAAGATGAGCATTGTTTGCAAGCCAATATTTTAGAGCACAAAGACTGCTGTTTGCTCCCCATGGTTCTGAGCTCCTGAAGTGTAAATCCATGGGGTTTTAGGCAGCTGCAGCTCCCCGTCTGTACACCTGCACCTAAGCTTCTGGCAGGGCACCTCTCACCGTGGGACTGATGTACCTCTGACTAGATTAGCTGCACAAGGCCAAGGACAGAGACAGAGCTCTCAGAGCAAAAAAGGCTTGTGTGGAAACACATCCTGACCTCTGGGTTTCACTCTGAGCAGGGGACTCCCTGCACAGAGTCTTGTCCCAACTGGAAGAGTTAAAAGCTCTGTATAAAATATTATCACAGAACTAGTCTCCTTTCCCTTTCTCTATTAA